CGGAAGAAACAGCTGGACGCACCAGAGTCTAGGGTGAAGGAAAGCCGTGCAGTCGGTGAGGTTGCACCCGAGCCAGCAACAAAGAGTGGTACTAGTCTAGTGGTGGCTGCTGCTCCCACAGTAAGAACCTCTGGGGCGCCTGGACCGGAAACTACACACGCACCAAGACTGGAAACACAAGGCTCAAAAGCAGTTGCAGCTCCCATGTACCGGTGTGTGTACTGGCCGGGTCCGTTAGGGCCCCGCTGTGGAGGTTGCTGCAGGCATTGCAGCTGAACCCGCCACTGCTGCAGCTGCGGCCACCTGTGCTGCTGCTGCTGCCACTGCTGCTGCTGAGACCACTGCTGTTGCTGCGGCTGTCGCCACAACAACATGGCAAGCTAGTACGGGGGGTGGGTACGCTGGCGGTAGCCTAAGTTGCTGCTGGTGCTACTGGTGGCAGCCTAAGCTGCTGCTGGTGCGCTGGGGGGCAGCCTATACTGCTGATGGTGCAACTGATGGCACTCTAGTGCGGTGTTGAACGGTTGGGTGGGATTGAGCGGTTGGGAACGGTGTTGGACGGTCAGGTGGGGCTAGGAGTGGCCTGGTGTGGTTCTGGTGCTTGTGGGAGGGGTTCAGTGTGGTCGGATGCGGTTGGGAGTGATGGAGGGCAGTTCAGTGCGGTTGGGAGCGGTGAAGAACGGTCTAGGGCGGTGGGGGAAAAAAATGGGTGGGCTGTCAACGAGCGTAACGAGCGCACGGGCGGTTGCTGTTGATGCTAGCCATTGCAGGTGCTAGCTAGAGCGGTGAAGGGCGGTTGAGACAGGTTGAGAAATGGGGAGCGGTATCTCGTGGTTGAGAGTAATTTAATGCGGTGAAGGGCGGTTTCTCACGGCTGGGAGTTGTCTAGTGCGGTTGAGAGGCTGTTTAGGGTAAGTTTGGGCGGGCGGGACGGGCGGCAGCGGGCGGCAACGGGCGGTGGCGGGCGGCAACGGGCGGCTAAGGGGTGGGGCGGTTGTACGGTTTGGCCGCGGGGCCAGCTAGACGCAGGCCACGGGGCCGTCGAGCAAGGGCCTCGGGGGCCGCTACTGAAGGCCGCGGGGCCTGCTAACGCGTGGGCCGCGGGGCCTGCGTTCTATGGTCGCGCGCGAGAAAAAAAACGGACGGGGGGGAGGGGGTCGAACGGGCGACTGCGGTCATACGTTTGGCCGCGGGGCCAGCTAAGCGCAGGCCATGGGGCCGTCGAGCAAAGGCCTCGAGGCCCGCTACTGAAGGCCGCGGGGCCTGCTAACGCGTGGGCCGCGGGGCCTGCATTCTATGGTCGCGCGTGAGAAAAAACGGACGGGAGGAGGGGGGGGGATCGAACGGGCGACTGCGGGAAAAACGCGACGGGCTATGGGCGACGGGCGACGGTCGACGTGCGACGGACGACGGGTGACGCGCTACGAGGCGCGCGCTATGACGAGGCACGCGTAAGTACAAGGCGCGCGGGTGGTGGGCACATGACTATCGAGTGAAATCTTGCCTAGGAAAAATCGCCTAGGGGAAAAATCGCCTAGGGGGAACCTCGCTCTATACCATGTTAGAATATGAGAATGAATGACTAGAATGAGCAAGTACAAGGGTAGATATAGCAAACCAAACCCGAGCACTAACCAATGTGTACACCACCTAGACTAAACAATACAAACTATAACAATTATAGTTTGACATCGGTGTCCTACTACACCCGCTACCCCTGTCGAGGTCTCTCGGTACCTCCCCCTACTCTTCTCCTCGCCCCCACTCCTCCTCCTACTCCCGCTCCTCCGGTACCACCGCCTCCCCCTGGTCCTGCCCCATCAGGTGTGTCTCACGCTAGCCCCCTTCCCTCGGTAGCCCGCCCTGTGTTGTCTCCCTCCCCGAAGTCCTCCTCCCAGTCCCCTCCGCGACCGTCGGATCTTCCGCGACAGGCTCCAGTGGACTTCGGAGGTGCTGACGCTGGGGGTACTGGCACAGTAGGTGGTAGATATGGGGGTGCTCGTTCATGGGGTGCTGCCGCTCAGGGTGCTGGAGCTGGCGGTACTGGAGCTGGAGGTGCGGATGCTGGAGTTCTTGACACAGGAGTCTCCGGTTCTGGGGGTGCTGGCACTGGAGGTGCTAGCTCTGAGGGTGTTGGAGCTGGCGACCCTGCTACTTCGTCATCTTCTTCGCCTCCTCACCGCCACGACACGCGTTACCAGGCTGCTTGTCGGCGTGCGCGCGAGGAGCAGGAGAGGTTGGAGCTGGACAGACTGGAGCTGCAGCAGCTGGACCAGCAGGAGCTGCAGGAGGTACAGCAGCAGCTGCAGGAGGTACAGCAGCAGCAGCAGCCGCAGCCGCAGCAACTCCCCCTTTCGCGACAATTGTTCCCACTAGTGAGTGGCCTTCGGGCCCTTGGTCTGCCCTCGCCTCCTCCCGTCCGCCCTCAGTCTCCTCCTGTCGTTGGGCCTCCGATCCCTCCTCCGGACCCGTCGCCTGCTGTTTACTCTCCTCCTCGGTCCCCGTCTCCTCCTCCCGTTGTATCGTAGTCTCGCGTCCGTCCTTGCCCTCCGCGTGCTCGTCCCTCGTCTCTCTTTGACGACCTCCGCACTGCCCTCCTCTGTTCTCGTCGTCATCGTTCTCCACCTGCATCTGTCCTCCCGTCTCCTCCTGCGTCGTCTCTCCCTGTTTCCCCTACTCCTATCTCTGACTATTACCACGCTGTTCGTCCTGTTCTCCCATGTGTTCTCGCCTCTCTTGTCATCGACCCTCGTGCCTCTCCGTCGTCTGTCTTGGCTCTTACTGCCGCTGTCGCTGACTTTGCTACCACCCGCCGCCTTGACTTTGCCACGCGTCTTGCGGCTGCTCCGCCTGCCCGTCCTCTGTCCCCCGGGGTTGAGTTTGCCATTGGCTGTGACGTCCTCGAGGACCGACAGTTTGAGCTGGAGTTCTTGACAGTCGCTTTTCCATCTCTCTGTGCCATGCTGCTCTCCCCTGAGAGAGACCCCGACGCCCTTGACATACCGGCTCCTCGCACGTACCGTGAGGCAGTGTCAAGGCTGTGGGCCTCTCAGTGGAAGGCAACCATGGACTCAGAGATGACGTCTTGGAGATCTACAGGCACCTACGTCGACGCAGTTCCCCCTCCTCGGGCGAACGTAGTCAATGGAATGTGGCTCTTCAAGGTGAAGTAACCCCCCGCCTGGATCACCACCGGTATTTAAGGCGCGCTATGTGGCGAGGGGCTTCAGTCAACATGAGGGAGTTGACTTATTTCAGACCTTTGCCCCGACCCTGAAGATGACTACTCTTCAAATAATCTTCACATAGCAACACAACAAGACTACGAGCTGCACTCCCTCGACTTCCCCACTGCCTTTCTCCAGGGATGACTGCACGAGGAGATCTGGCTGCGACGTCCTCCTGGTTTCACTAGCACTTTTCCACCTGGGACCCAGTGTAGCCTGAGGCGACCAGTCTACGGTCTTCGCTAGTCGCCCCGTGAGTGGCAGGACACTCTTCGCTCCACGCTTCGTGACCTTGGGTTCCTTCCTTCCTCTGCCGACCCGTCACTGTTTGTTCGCACGTGTTCCACTATTTTCTTTGTCCTTGTCTATGTCGACGACCTGGTCTTCGCCACAGCTGACAGGACAGCCCTGGCTGAGGTGAGGCCCGAACTGCAGAAGAGACACACGTGCACTAACCTCAGTGAACTACAGTGCTACCTCGGCCTGCAGATCACCAGGGACAGAGCCGCTCGCACCATCACGTTGACTCAGTCACACATGGTGCAGTAGGTCCTTCAGCGGTTCGGGCTTTAGTTCTCCACCACACAGCCCACGCCTTTTGCGGTAGACCACAGACTCACCGGCCTTTTCCCGACGAGCCCTTTGAGCCTAGTGGTCCCTACCCGGAGCTTGTGGGCTGCCTCATGTACCTGATGACTTGTACGCGTCCGGACCTCGCCTTTCCTCTCAGCGTCCTCTCTCACTTTGTTGCGACTGGGAGACACCGACTTGTTCACTGGACTGCTGCTCTGAGGGTGGCGAAGTGCCTGGCGGCTACATCAGACATGGGGCTTGTGCTTGGTGGGACTCGACCAGTTGAGCTGACCGGTCACTGTGACTCCTCCTACGCTGGCGACGTGGAGAATCAGCGCTCGACCCAGGGTTACTGCTTCAGCTTGGGAGCTGGAGCTGTGTCGTGGAGGTCCACACGGTCGTCGTCTGTGGCTTCGTCCAATGCAGAGGCAGAGATCTACGATGGTGCCATGGCTGCGCAGGAGCTTCGCTGGTTGACCTTCTTACTCACCGACCTTGGTGAGCGGCCTCGCTCTGCTCCGACCTTGTTCGCTGACAACAAGGCCATGATTCTCTTATGTCGCGAGCCTCGACTGGAGAGCCGGGTGAAGCACATTGACGTGAGGTACTTCCTCATGCGAGAGTTACAGCGTTGCGGCCAGACGCGCCTGGACTTCGTGGCCTCAGAGGTGTAGTGTGGTCTCTTGCTTCCTGTACTGTTGTACTTGCGCTTATATATTTGTATGAACTGTATGAACTGGCCTTGTGGCCCCTTGCTTGTGCTCGGACTGTGTGGTGATCTTGAGATCCACCCTGAGTTTTGTTTGTTCCTTGCTTTGACTGGTCTTGTCACCATTTGTTGTTACTTGCTTGCTTTCTTCTTATGCCCCTCACTTATGCACCAAATGTTATCTTAGCATGTTAGGCTACGGTGAGTAGCATTGTAGTGAGTACATCATTTGCTAGTGTTCCTATTTGTATTACGCTGAGGGCCATCCGATACAGTTTCAGTCCTGGCTAGAGGACCTCCACTGGTACCAACAGAGCGTTGCTAGGGAGGATGTGTCACTGTTTGAGCATACCTCGGGGTCCCTCGTTGCCCCTTCAGACTCAGCTGGGCGTGTCCTTCGTTCTCTGTGGAACACTCGCGACGCTACTGCTGCCCTAGCTGTCCGTAGCCACCTTTCGCTCGCGCTACTGCTCCTTGCGGTCACCATCTCGATGACCGCCGTGACCACAGCGAATGTCGCAACGCTCGTCATCAACAACATGGACCGCAGCCTGTCGGTCGACAACTACACCATCTATGGCCAGAACATCTACGACAACGAAACTGGCGTCCAAGTCAAGCCAACGAAAAACCCCGATGGGTCGCTCACGGTGGAAGGCAAGTACACGTGGTACCCGAACGGCACCATCGCCGCGCCCGGAGTGATTATATACATCGCCGCCGCGGCCAGCTTCGTGGAAATCGCGAACACAAAGCTGTATGGCAAGGGCGGCATTGCGAGGAACGCCGCGACGGACGCAGTGATCCCGTGGGTTGAGAATCCTGACAGCTCTGTCACCGCCGGCGACATCACCGGTTGGGCGAACGGCACATTTCGCGGCTCAAATGACATCGTGCTGCGAACACGCCTCTCGTTCAAACCATCGAATGGCGGTGGAAGCACCGGTAGTGGCGGAGGCACGGGCACCGGCGGTAGCACGGGCACCGGCGGTGGTACGGGCAGTGGCGGTGGCACAGGTACTGGCGGAGGCACGGGCACTAGCGGAGGGAAGGGCACTGGCGGAGGCACGTGCACCAACGGAGGCACGGGCACCGGTGGAGGCACGGGTATTGGCGGAGGCACGGGAACCGGCAGAAGCATGGGCACTAACGGAAGCACGGGCACTGGCAGAAGCACGGGCACTGGCGGAAGCACGGGCACCGGCGGAAGCACGGGCACTGGCGGAAGCACGGGCACTGGTGGAGGCACCGGCACCGGCGGAAGCACAGGCACCGGCGGAAGCACGGGTACCGGCGGTGCCACAGGCACTGGCGGAGGCACCCACACGGGCGGAAGCACGGGCACCAACGGAAGCACGAGCACGGGCGGAAGCACAGGTACCGGCGGAAGCACAGGTACCGGCGGAAGCACGGGTACCAGTGGAAGCACGGGCAGCGGCGGAGGCGTGAACCCTGATGGCAGTGTGGCGTTGGGTGCGGGCTACAAGGTGCTGCTGAACGGCACGGTGGTGGACTCCTCTGGAAAGCCCGCCAAGCCCGTCGCCAACCCCGACGGGTCGTTCACCGTCGACGGCAAGTACACCGCCTTCCCCAACGGCACCATTGTGGGTCCCAGCGGGTCGGTGGTGGAGAGCGGCACACATTTGCCGTCAATCCAGGCGGCACCATCGCCGTGACTCCCGCCCCCAGCAGCACCAGCCTGACTGTCAACCCCGATGGTAGCCTGACCTTCAGACCCGGCTACACCCTGTTACCTAACGACCAGGTGGTTGACTTCATTGGAGCTCTCGTCACACCCACTGCCAACCCGGATGGGTCGTTCTCTGTTGGCGGTGACTACACTGCATACCGCAATGGCACGGTCACTGCTCCTGGTGTTTCCATCGCCACTGTCGCCGGCGCGCCTGCCTACACAATTGGCGACACGACGATGCTGGCAAATGGCACGGTGCTGGAAGCGGCTGGGAAGCCGATCAAGCCGACGGTGAATGCAGATGGGTCGTTCACAGCGGGTGACATCACTGGGTTTGAGAACGGCACCCTTGTGGGCGCCAACAGTGCGGTCGTCAACACTGGCAAGCAGTTTGCCATTAGCCCTGATGCCACCATCGCCGTCACCTCTCCTGCACCTGGCTCCCTCCTCGCTCCTGGGTCCAGCCCTGATCCCACTCCCTTTGACCCCAGCGGTACCCGGGTGTCGTACAACCTAGACGGCACCCTGACTTTCGGACCCGGCTACACCCTCTCACCTAGCGGCGTGACTGACTCCACCAGAGCTCCTGTCGTGCCCACTCTCAATCCATGGCTCCTTCACTGTTGGTGGCGACTACACTGCCTACCCCAACGGTACGCCCACTGCTCCCGGTGTTGCCATCGCTTTGGTTGGCACGGCCAGATACACAATTGGTGGCACGACAATTCTGGCTAACGGCACGGTGCTGGATGCGGCCGGAGTGCCGAGTAAAGCCGCGGTGCAGATATCCCGGCTCCAGTTCAAACTATTATAGTTTGAAAGCCGCGTAACCGAGTATACGCAGGAAAAGCGCAGGGAGAGGTTTCTGCCAGCGGGGGAAGGGCGTGCGGAAAAGTCATTCGCAGTATGATGGCGGTGTTCGCCAGCACCTTTGACATTGGAAGAAAATGGAAGGCATCGGGCTGGCAACGGCATCAGGAAGCGGGGCCGGAACCCTCCGAAAAGGTTTGGGCGAAATGCCACCCGCGAACTTGTCAGCCCCGACATGGGAAACTTCACAACCGCATATGGAACCCCACACCCCACCTTCCCCCCAAATGGGACGAAAATTTGGCACCACTGACTTGTGCCTGACCGGGCGCCAGACCCTACTGTACCAGGGTAAAAAACGTGAGAAAAAAACCCCATCTGTACTAGTTCTGGACTAGAGCAGCCCGTGGTGTATTCGAGAGAGTGGAAAATTGGGTGTAAACGAGGGCCTATTCGTGACTCCGGTGGCTGTGGTAGTGTTTACCCTTTGACAGCCAATTACATCGCCAAACCACGACAGTCCACGTGAAATGGTGGATTGCCACGGGATGGCATGAGACGGGACGTTTGCGTGGGGAGGAAGTCACATCCCCATTTCTAAATGCCATGTTTCCATCCGAAATTTCAGAAAAATGAGGGCGTTCGCCAGGCACCAAAAATTGCTTTAGGTTCGGACGACATCCTAGCTTCGGCTAGAATTTTACGGGCTGACCAGGCTGATGGAGCTTAACGAACCCTAACTGAGGGGATCAGGAAGGCGTGACTGGCCTTCCTGATCCCGTCGTTTTCGTTTTCAAAAGTGCTGGCGAACACCGCCGATGTGTGGGGGGGGGAAACGGGGGAGGGCTCGGGGCTCCGCTCAACGAGATGAGGGGGAGCGCAGGCAGCAAATTTGAAAATTCAAACTTGAACTCAAAACAACTCAAACTCGGCAAACTCTCACACTTGAACTAGGTTCTTACTAACTTGAAGTGCGTTTCCCGAGCTACGCAGAGCCATTTCCTCTAAGATTTCTCGCGTTTCATGGTCTATTGATGTGCTCACGAATATCTGCGCAATTTCCTACCTCGTAAACACTAAACCCGAAACCTGAAACCTTTTTTTGTAGTATTCGAAGCGCATTGCGCTCGCTTTCCTCCGTTGCCGTCCATATTCCTCTCCCGCCCCTCCATTCCTCACGTATCTGCGGTAGCACAGGCGCAACGGTAGCGACAGGCAGGAATGGGTGCGACGGTGGCGAGCAGCGGGGCGACGATAGCTAGATATCGGTGGTCGCATATGAGCAGCGGGGCGACGATAGCGAGCGGTGGGGCGACGATAGCGAGCAGCGGGGCGACGATAGCGAGCAGCGGGGTAACGATAGCGAGCAGCAGGGCGACGATAGCGAGCACCAGGGCGACGATAGCGAGCACCAGGGCGACGATAGCGAGCAGCAGGGCGACGATAGTGAGCAGCAGGGCGACGATAGCGAGCACCAGGGCGACGATAGCGAGCACCAGGGCGACGATAGCGAGCAGCGGAGCGAAGCATCTATGCGACGGTGGCGAAGCATCTCGCGTCCCACCCTGTCACCTCCCGTCCCATCCAATTTCCCCCTTTCCAATGCCTCCCCCTTTCCGATCCCTTGCCCGGTCCTCAGCATCAACTTCGCTTGGCCAGTGCCCTCCCTGTTTTCCTCTCCCTTTCCCTGTTATAGTCACAATAGGCTTGAATGTGCCTAAAACGAAAGATAGAGAGCACAGACGGATTTCTGCACAGCGGCTTCAAACGTTGATAGCGTTCTGCTCACAGCTGCAAATGACTTGATTCAAATTGGATCTGGAGCGTCTTCACGTCATCTACAATTAGCAATTTAGATTGCACGATTTGATAAAGAATTGACGACACAGCGTCGGTTTGAACGAACGGTACTATGGCAGCCACTATAGTCTTAGAACACAAGATAGGAAGAGTTACGAGTTGGGAATGACTCCCAGCTCCTACAAACCCCAAGGGCCGAGGTACAGTGATGTGGAACAGTGCCACACTGTCCCCAACCACGAAGGGTCTCGAAACTACCCTTCACTAGGGCCTACACCAAGTGAAATGTTACACTACACAAAGTAATGTAGCTATCTTCAATATCTTGAGGTGTACCCTTTTGGCAAGCTTCGAAATCACTTGAGGCTTGACACCAAGGCTCGGGCTCTTCATCAAAAACTCATCCTTGAGTTCTTGATGGGTCTGCTGCACACACCTGCGACACGCCGAACGTTCGACACAGGACAAAATAGAAACCGCGCACGACAAAATAGAAACCGCGCGCGAGACACAAACGACCGCGTAACACGCGTCTAGCGATAACTCACTATTGACTCGACACACACACTCGACATCATGACTCAACATTCACACACAATTATAAGCATGAAATATATATTATCCCATGCCCTCATACCATTCCATACACACACACATTCACGCACACGGACAACAAGCCGAGTGCAAACCGTAGGGTTGCACCAACAAACTCCCCCTCGGATTGTTGGCCTTAGGATATGTTGCTCTCTCAGTTCAGAGCCATCCCAGCTAGCTTGCAACACTTCCAATGCTGCTGCTCCACCAGCCTCTTGGTCATCATGTCAGCCGGCTGCCCCGTGGTCTTCACGTAGCGCAACTCAACTTCACCCGCGGTTACCATGCTCCTCGTCCAATGCCACTTCACCCTCATGTGCTTCGTGAGTCCATGCAACACAGGGTTCTTAGCAAGAGCAATGGCACCCTGGATGTCACAGTACAGTGGGGTAGGTCCTTGCTGCTCCTCCCCCAATTCAGCCAACAAACGCCGCTGCCACACAATCTCCCGTACGGCACGGAAGAGTGCCATGTACTCGGACTCCACCAAGCTCAAAGCTTGGTCAACCTGCTTCTTGCTCTCCCAAGCAGTTGGGCCTCCACCAACACAGCATATGAAGCCTCCCACACTTGTCATGTCCTCTGGTTCTGATGCATATGAAGCATCCGAGTAGGCGGTGAGGAACAAACGCCCGGGTTCAACACCATCCACGCCCTTTTGGCGCCTTTGTGCCGCCGCCGAGTATTGCAGCCCAACGGTCGATGTTTGGCCAAGATACTTGGCCACCCTCATTCCAGCTGCTACCTGCTCCTCATTAGGGCATTGCACAACCCTAGCCAGCTGCCCGGTAGCAAACGCGACGTCCGGTCGGGTGTTTACCGCCGCATACATGAGGCTGCCCACCAACGAGTGAAATCGGCGCCTCTCCTCTTCACCAACGCTCTCCTCCTCTGGTCCCTTCACACACTTGAACCCAGAGGGAAAGGGTGTAGCCACATGGCCTTCACTCTGCCCAAAGTTGGCAGCCAATGCCTCCAGGTACTTTCGTTGATGCACCCGCATGCACCGCTTCTCCACATCTCGTTCGATGTGGAGCCCAAGGTAGAAGCTCACGTCACCAAGGGCCTTGCACTTGAACTTGTCTTGAAGCTTCAGCATCACCTCCTTCACAAGGTCAGAAGAGGGTGAGAAAATGAGGATGTCATCCACATAAACCACCATGAAACTCCTCTGCTCCCCCTCGCCAAGCATGAACAAGGAGTGATCGGCCGTTGAGGGAGTGAAGCCGATCCCCTCCAACACTTCGCGCAGCTTCATGTACCATTGCCTAGGGGCCTGCTTCAGCCCATAGAGGGCCTTCTTCAGATTCCACACTCTGCCACTACCATCATCAAACCCCTCTGGCTGCGCCATAAAAATCTCCTCCTCAAGGATGCCGTTAAGGAATGCCGTTACGATGTCCATTTGCTTTACTACCCATCCTTTGATGGCGGCTCCCGCGAATAGGGTTCGCAGCGTCGTCGGCTTCACCACAGGGGCAAACAGCTCCTTGAAGTCCACCTTCTCCTTCTGCTGGTACCCCTTGGCTACAAGCCTAGACTTGTAGCGCTCGATCTTGCCGTCGGCATCCGACTTGATTTTGAAGAGCCACTTGGACGTTATCGCCGTACGCCCCTCCAGTAGCTCCACCAATTCAAACGTGTCATTCTCCTCGATGCTCTTCAGCTCACTCTCCATGGCCTTCTTCCACTCCTCAGCATCACTACTCTCCAAAGCCTCCTTGAGAGTTGCTGGTTCTCCCGGCATCTCCACCGGAGAGAAGAACGCGAAGGCACACTCCTCGTAGTCACTCTCCTCGTCGTCTCCGACCATCATTGCGGCTCCGGCCAGGGCTGTCTTGCCCTGCTTTCCCGGCGCATCATAGGTCAGCCTATTAGGGGGTTGAACTCTCCTCTTCCCCCTTCCTTCCTCCTCAGCTGCAGGGACTTGAAGGCCTTGGCGTTGCTGCGGTGTGGCTCGAATCCGTGGAGCACTCGTAGTACGGGAAGGGAGTGACGGTGCACGCTCGCTCACTTGCTGCACCTCCTCCTCTTCTTCCTCTGCATCATTGGCCTCCTCTCCCCCATTCACAAGGGAGGATTGCCTTGTGGTTGTGCTGCCGCTGCTCAGCTCCAAAGGCAGCTCCACATGCTCCAAACCGGAACTCTTCACCTCCCCAAACCGCACGCCTATCTTCGCCTCATTCTCCGCCTTCCAATCCTTGTACATGAAGTTCTCCATGAACTTGCAGTCCCTGCTCACCAAGAACTTCTTGGTGAATGGGTCCCAAAGAAGCCATCCCTTGCTGTTTTGAGCCATGCCCAAGTGCACGGCCCACACCGCCTTGGCACCAAGCTTGTTGTGCCGAAGATGCTTAGGCACGAGCGCCATGCACATGCACCCGAACACCCGAAGCATATCCACCTTTGGCTTCCTTCCTAGCCACTCCACATAGGGCACCCATTTGTCTGCTCCCACATGAGTCAAGGCTCTGTTCTTGGCCACACACGCGCTCCGCACCGCATCAGGCCAGAAATAGTCGGGTAGCCCG